GGGGGGAGAGGGAGAGGGAGAGGGAGAGGGAGAGGGAGAGAGAGTGAATAGCAGTAAACGAACAAACAAAAATCGTAGTGAGGGGTCGTTATATTGCGGCTCACAACGTTGTAATGGCTCAGAGTAAAAGCGATATGTCGTATTCTGTCAACAAATACGATCAGTTTATTGTAGGCCGTTTTATTACCGCTCGGCGTTGCGGGTTCAGAGGAAACGTTTTTCCGGTTTCGAGCCAGTTCGAGGGGGCAGATGCGATCAATGCTATCGATAAATTAACCGTTTAATCATGAAATGTAGCAGGTTCGCCGAAGTCACGGCGGAACTGGTACATAATGCGAATGAAATTAACAGAAGCGACCACGGCGGAAGGGACGCTATTGCTAAACTTCGTAAGCTTGCGTCAGGGTCAATATAACTCTGTGCTACGGCCACGGCTATCTAACGGCGGGTTCTGTATGTATCCTGTTTTAAGCTCGCAATTACGAACATTTAGGCCTGCATTGGATAGGTCTTTTAAAAATAAATACAAGACTTGCCTATTACTAATCACTTTAATAATAGTTGAATTGTAACTGTACAATAGATGTTCACTGTGTGTCAACTGTCAGCTGTGTATCTCGCGCGCTTGATGTCGCTTCTTATACAGGATGTTCGACTACTACTGGGAAAAAATTTAAGGGGTGATTCTTTGGGGCAAAATAAGACGAAAAGCAAGAATAACGATATTGCGACACATGCTTCGTTTGCTAGTTATAAGCGTTTAAAAATTGACCCAAATGATGGCAATCCGCACGCACGGAGTGTCAGCGGTACAGGGTTCGTAAGGGGCGTACAGTTACTCTAGAGACTCAGAAAAGTGTCCACGCACACTGCGCGATTGTGCCATCCGCGAAAAGTGTGCACACACGCTGCGCGATTGTTCCGACCGCGAAAAATGTTCACACACTGCGCGATTAATTAGACCCGCGCGCGGTTCCTCCGTTCCGTTTACCACTGTACACGTTACACAAAACTAACACCCAAAAGAATTAATTTATAACTATTATTTACGCTAATGTTTAACCTATACTAAATTATTTTAACTACTATTCATATTAATATTTAACCTATAATAATTAATAAAACCTACAATATTTAATAAAGCCTGCAATAATTAATAAAGTCTACAATATTTAATAAAACCTGCAATAATTAATAAAATCTACAGTATTTAATAAAACCTACAATAATTAATTTGCATTATTTATAACAACGACGTACACGACACTACTAAGTAATCTCTACGTAATCGCTAAATAAACTAAAACTTCGTTTTCCGAACATGAACTCTATTTGCCCGAAGAATGCAAAGGGCTCTGTTCGGAAAGAACAATTGATATTGTTGAACTGATCCTCCCTCGTTAAGATCGATGTGACGTAATAGGTTGATCCCCACTTTTTTATGGTCAATACTTTTTAGAAAGGAAAGGCTGCATGGGAACGTGTTTTGGAGGTCGTGTTTTGTTTCGTATATTCTTAGAGCAACATCTGTATTTTTTATTCATACACCTGTATCTGGACATTATAAAACTCACTCTTGTCTTCTGCAGTGCGACCATCCGCGGATTACCTGTAACGTGTTGCTGCCATCGACGAAGACCTTGCCGATTCTGTTTTCGGCTGTCCCTCTTGACATTAACTTCTAAAAAGAACTTTCAACGTCGAATGCTAACTCCATGTTAGAAACGGTTCATATTACACCGAATGTCTGTGTTTAACAATTTTCGTTATTTTATTTTATGTAGTTTCTATCGTATCGTAATCTATAGTGATTGAATAGGGAACAGTTAGAAGCCAGATTGATATAGCAAAGTGAATAGGAACCCTATTGTTTCAATAATAGAATAATAGTAATGAAAAATATAAAAAAGCAGGAGGTAG